CACCTCACTTCCAGTGTTGGGCTGGTACTAAAATAAAAGTCTCAATGAATTTCCATAGATCACCATGCTCTAACTGCCTTCCTTCTTTCCTCCAGAAGATTATTTAATATAGGTTTAGAATATTTTAGCTATTCTAGCGTAAAATGTGTCTCTAAATAGTCAAGATATGTTTTTCTTTCACAGTTCTTGCTATCCTTCAGTTTTCCTCACACTTTACTTCAAACTTGACTTCCTGCAATTGTTATTAATCTACCTCTATGATGTCTAACTCTAAGTCCATATCACTTCAAGGATAATTTTGTTGCTGAATACTCAAAGAGTGATCATAAAGGTAGTTCCTGATGAATCACATGAAAGTACATAGATGATCTAAGCCTCAAACCACTACTGTTTGCCAGTATTCATTATAAAATCTCCAGGCCCCAAAATAAGCTCATTTTAATTATTCATTTTCATGTGACATTAGGAGAAGATGAAAATTTAGAGCCATAATTGCAAAGTTCTTTTTCTTTCTTCAGTGTCTTTGGCATATATCATACTCGCTCTTTTTGAGTCAAGAAATCACTAAGTGTATCTGAGCCAGTAACTGCCGAATATGACCGTGCTATACCTGTATCACCTCCTTTACTTATGACAACTCTGTAATAGAAACTATATTATTCCCAATTTACAGAAGATAAAATTGGGGCACCAAAGGCTTGCATGTCCAAGGGCACACAGCCCACACAGTCTGAATCAGGATTCAAGTCCAGTCAGTAAGGTGCCAGGACCTAAGCGCTTAACCCTTACTCTTCACTGCCTTCAAAACACACTACCTGGTGAGAGCTGTCTAAGCATCAGCAAGATGGAAAGAGACCCGGCAACTAAACACATTCCAGGGGGAAAATAGGAAAAGAGGAGGAGGAAGGGAGGGGGAGGCAAGAGAGAGAGAGGAAGATGGCATGCAAAAAATAGACTCCAAATGTACAAGAGAATGTACTTCAAGGAACAGAAGGATGTTCCTCACAATATGGCATTAGATGGTTTTGGAAGTTATTGTAAATTGCGTATTTTCATATATTTCATTTTAGAATTGTTGCTACTGTATATAACAATACAAGGTTGAGCATTTTTAAAAAAATGTTTCTTGGCCTTACATGTTTCCTCTTTTTTTAGGAAATGCTTTCCATATCTCCTTCCTATTTTTCCATTGGGCTGTCCTTTTCTCCCTGATTTGCAGAAATTCTTTATATATTCTGGATAATCCTTTGTCACTTACATATGTTAGAAATTTTTCTCCTAGTTTGGGACTGTCTTCTTCACTTTTTATAGGGTGCTTTTTGACAGACAATTCTTAAATTTAATATAGTTTTAGAAGTTTTCTATTGCTGCCAAAAATTACAACAAACTTAGCGGCTTAAAACAATGCCCATTTATTATGCCACCATTCTATATAGCTCAGCAGTCCAGGCAGTCTTGACCGGGTTCTCTGCTTTGGGTCTCACAAGGCCAAAATCAAAGTGTCAGCCAAGCTGAACTCTTCTCTGAAGACTCTGAGGAGCAATCCACTTCCAAGATCATTCAGGCTGTTGGCAGAATTTGGTTTCCTTGTGGTTGTAGGACTGAGGTTCCCGTTTCCTTGCTGGCTGGCAACCAGGGATCACTCAGCTTCTAGAAGCCACTTGTATTCCTTATCACTCCATTTTCAAGCCAGTATGGGTGCATCAAATCCTTCTCAACTTGGAATCTGTGACTTCCTCTTCTGCTACCAGCTGGGGAAAACTCTGTTTTTTGTTTTTGTTTTGTTTTGTTTTTTTAAAGATTTTATTTATTT